CGGCAGCGATCTCCTTCGCTCGACAAGGCTGCTGTTGCTCTCTCCACACTGTGTGTTTAAGGCTTTTATTCCTCAGGGTCACCAGCTGGGATTTCCTCATGACGCCAGGCCCTCGATGGGGGTTCCCAGCCCGGACAGCAACTCTGCTTCGGTGCTAGAGGAGCTGCTGTCACCACTTACAGGGTGGAGGGTTGAGAGTACACGTCGCCACAGGGAGCCACCGTGCCAGTGCTGTGTGTGCTTGAGCCGAAGCGTTTCCCCTTCGTATTTCCCCCCGCACACACCCTACCCAAAATGGAGGAAAACTGTCCTTATCTCCAGGTAGCAGCAAGTACTCGGGAAACAGCATGCGGGACTCAGCAGCGGAGGAGGGAGGAAGGCAGAGAAGAAATCTGGACTTTCCTGGTGAGTGCTCAGTTGAATTGGATCTAAGAAAGCAAAAGGAGAACATCGGAACAGCTGCCCTAGGGCAGACCAACATCCGCCCAGCCCAGCCTCCCGACCCAGCAACCACCAGCGCTGGGCTTCGAGGACAAGAGAAGAGCAGGACGCGCCTTACCCCGGCCTGCCCCCTGCCAGCAGCCGGGAGCAGAGGGTGAAAACAGCCCTGCCCTGCACGAACCGCAGGGTCCACGCTCTGGTTTGCCACCTCTAGATCAGAAGGGTTTGGCGCAGGAGGCCTGGGGTACGGGACACGCGGCTGGGCGGTCCCTTGGTGGACTGAACCGATCGTAGCCGCGCGCCGTTGCCACTGCCCTTAGCTTCAGCAGCAGCAGTTTGTTCACTCTCCTCGTGTCCAATAGTGCCCATGTGCAGGATGAGAGAACCCAAACGTGCTGACAGGCCAAAGAAAAAAGCCTGACACAAACTCCTGCCTTAGGCACAGTGTTGTAAATAAGGAGTATGATTCCATCAAACGGCCCAGATGTCCTCTGAGGTGTCCTAGATTTGGAAGGAAGGCGCAGGCAAGGTGACTTACATCACGCAGCCAGAACAGCGCAGGGCGGTCACTGGCCTCCTGGCAAAGGCTGATCCAGCGTAATGCCCTGTGTCTGGTAGATCTCCTTCAGAACCAGCAGCACGGTGTCCTCCGACTCCCTGGAGGAGGAGGAGGTGGGAATTAGCGGGGGACGCTTCCCCCCACTCTGCCAGGACATCCGTGATGGCCACGGGCAGGTGCAGCGCTCAGCAAACGCGGGCAGTGCTAGGCAAGAGCTACAACGTTGGGTCTCCTTCCTCTGTCCCGACCCACCCGCGCCGGCTGCGTTACAGGCAGGAGCGCATCTTGTTTCCTCAGTTAAGGCTTTTCTTATAACGTTGGCTTTAAAAATTACGGCATTCTGCTTACATCAGACGTGAATTTGAAGCTTTGATGGTTATGCAGAAGCTTACCAATAGCAGAGATGCCCTTGTAGTGCAAATAAATACTCGTTAAAGCTCTCTATTGGCTTCTCCTGCAGCACGTAGTCTATGCGATTGCCTCCGTTCAGCCTCCCCACATTAATGAAGGCAGCCTCTTCCTTCGCTGCGGCGGGGGTCTCCTCTGGCTTTGTGTCTGAGGGATGAAGAGCAGCGGGGTTCAGCCCAGGGGCACCAACAGCCACGAAAACGCAACAGCGTCACCGTGCCCTCCCTTCGCCCCACTGCGGGCTCCCGCAGAGGAGAGGCAGCTGAAGGGCTCGCTCTGACCCTCGGAAAAGTCTTGCAAGAGACAGCTGGAGAAGGGGACAGGCCTGGCAGGCTTACAAAGCAGCGCCGGTGTGCCGAGACCCCCGGGAGGCCGTTGCTGACCAGGCAGGCTGCCTCTTCCCCCCCTTCCTCAGGCAGTAACTGGGGGAGGCCACAGCACGTGGAGAGCCAGGTGCCTGCGCTGCTCCAAGGCAAGCCCTTTGCTGGGCACAGAAGATGGCAGCGGCGCCGGGGTTTGACGCCGGGACGGGCACCTCACCGGTGCGGCTGCAGGGACCC